GCTCAGGACTCCTTCTCCCGCCTACAGCAGCTCCAGGCCCCCGGGGGTCTGCCAGGTCAGGCCCCCACTCCCACACAGCCCTGCTTAAACCATGCCAGCCTCCCTCGCAGCCTCAGAGCCGCTGGGCACATGTGCACGATGTCGGAATCCAGTTTAAATTAAACCCAGAAGCCTCAATGCTCTATACAAATCCTGCTGCCAGCCCCTGCCCTGGAATGCCAAGTGCACACAATCACAGTGGGCATCTGCTGCGTTCTGCCCCGCGGGCCCTGAATGCTCCCCAACTTGGCTCCGCAGGCCTGGGGACCGTCCAGAGATACGGAATGTCGGCAGGAAACCTCTCATCTGGGACGCAAGCCATTCCCAGGCCTGTTCTAGACGGAGAGAGAGGCAGGGGCTGGACGACTGAAGGCCAGGGCAGCCCCCAGGGAGCAGGAGACACCGGGAAGGCAGCTGCCCGCTCTCCCGCTGCCTCGCCTGCTGTCACAGCCCTGCTCCTGCCACGGGCCGCGCCACCGGTTTGCAGCCGCCGCTGCCCGTGGCTGCCCGGCCGCCTGCAGGTCCCTACAGGATGCGTGAGTGTCTGCCCCGGAAGCCCAGCACAAGGAACGGAACGCCAAGCTGAGAGGCTCCTGTGCAGAGGAAGAAGGACGGGAGGGGAGCGAGAGAAGGGGGGGAGGGGCCGGGAGGGATGAAGGAGGGGCTGAGCAGAGCTCCCAGAGAAAGGACACCCCCGGCTTCTCAGCCTCTGTCCAGGGCTGCTGGGCCCCACGAGGAGGAATGGCGGGGCTGGCAGAAGCCTCCAGAGCAGTTTGCTTTCGGGGCGCTCGGCCGTGTCTCTGGGGCCCCGCCCGGGTCTTCCATGTCTAAAGTCAAAGCTCCCCGGGGCTTTCAGCAAGTCGGCCCGTTAGGGGGTGAGAGCGACACCCGCTGTGTCCCCGCCGGCTCTGTGACAGGAGAGGGGGCACTGGGCCTCCCCGTGCAGGGACCTGCCACCCAGGAGGCGCGAGGCTCCCCGCCACCGTCTCCCCCACTGTGGCTCAGCCTCCGTGGCAATGGCTTCAAGCTTTTTAAAAATATATATATATTTTTTATTGACTTCAGAGAGGAAGGGAGGGAGAGAGAGAGAGAAACATCAGTGATGAGAGAGCATCATGGATCGGCTGCCTCCTGCACGCCCCCCACTGGGGTCCAGCCCACCACCCGGGCCTGCGCCCTGACGGGGCATCACACCGTGACCTCCTGGTTCCTGGGTCCTTCTCAGCTGTGGGGGCCTCGGGCTCTCCACCTGGAAATAAAGGCGCCTCCAGGAGAGGCCCTGCTGCTCACTCAGACCGCCGGGCGAATTTAAAAGCCCTCATCTATTATTGTGTCTCTCTGGAGTCAAACCGAAGCTTCCAGGGTCCACAGGGCAGGGGCGGCCCTGGAGGAACCGGGCACCGTGAGATGCACGGCGCGCTGTGGGGGGTTGAGCCACGCGTGGCGACAGCTCCGAGTTGAAACAGGAGCCGCCAGACCCCGGCTGCCTGCGTTACGCGGCTCTGCCAACCAAGTGCTGCCTCTTTTACTAGTAGATGTGGGCCTGGGCCGGGGCCTGGGCGGAGGGCCGGTGTGGGGGGCAGCTGGGCCCAGTGGCTGAGCGGCGACCTGGGAACTAGGAGGTCACAGTTCATTCCCGGCGGGGCACAGGCCCGGGTTGCGGGTGTGACCCCAATGGGGGGCGTGCAGGAGGCCGCTGATCCATGATTCTCTCTCATCATGGATGTTTCTATCTCTCTCTTCCTCTCCCTTCCTCTCTGACATCAGTACAAATATATTTAAAAAAATAAAAAATAACTGTGGGTCCCGGGATGACCTAAGGAAGGTCCTGGACTCCAAGCAGACTGGTGAGGCCGAGCCCAGCGCGCATGCCCGCGTGTCCGCTCTTTCCCCGCCGCCGGACAGCTGTGTGGGCAGCGCCGGCGAGGAAACAGCCGTGGGCTGTGCGCTCAGAACGTGTTCACCGGCGTGGGCGGCCTGTGCCTGTCCAAATAAATACAGGCGCTCGCCACCTCCTTCCCACAGTGAGAATCAGAAGGGAGAACAAAGCCACACATCGCAGATTAAGATTCAAACAGATGAGGAAATCGGGGCCAGCGATATGGAAAACAAAGAATAAAAATAGAGGCGGGAAAGCAGAGGGGTGAGGGTGGGTGGGTGTGAGGACAGGAAAGAAGTGAGCAAAGCTTTGTTTCCATGGTGACCAGCAGCTCCTGCAAGCCGGCCCTGTAACAGGCTGCAGTGAGCATCCTTCCACCTTGTGGTCCAGCCCGGGAGGGGGCGCCCTCCACACTCTGGAAGCTGGGAGCCGGCTCAGCACCTGTGCGACCTGCACCGGGTCCCAGGCCCCAGGCCCGGCCACACCTCACAGACCTGGGCCGACCACATGCCCCTCCCTTGGGGATTAGGAGTTTAGTTGAGGGACAAGCAGGCGTGTCTGTTGGTGGTTCAAACAAATTTGCTTATTCTCAAATATTTACTGAGCATCTACTGTAGAGAGGAAATGTGAACAGTAGCAGGGTACTATATAGTTAAAATAATTTTTACTTTTGAAATATCATAAAAATGTTGCATTGCTTCCAGAAATGGCATATTAGCTGGAACTATTTTTCAAATGATGTATATATGTGTGTATTCAGTACATAGATATGCATAGATGCAGTCACACAGAGAGAATTCCAACATGGCAAAAAGTTCAATTGAATCTTGGTGAAGGACATAAGTTTTCAACTTTTCTCTAAGTTTGACACATTTTTAAAAATATGTTTTTGTTGATTTCAGAGAAGAAGAGAGAGAGAAA